GAAAACCCGATATAATAATCGCTAGCAACCAAAATAGTAAACCAAAGACAAGGAATCCTAACCACCATGCTCCTATCCAACGATGATCTTTTGGTGTAAGATTCAATCCATCTGGCTATATAGATTCACAAAAAATACACCTTTTCAATATTTGAAATTCTATCAAGAAAAGGTTCAGATGGGAATTTCAGCAGAACATTTTTTCCAATATTGTATCAATTTGCACGGTTATAAACAGAGGTTATTTTATAAAACTGCCCATTTTATAGTTGCTTTAAGATCCAACATGAGTTGTTGGAGCACGAAAACTCAATTTTTAGAATTGCCCATCATAGGTTTTAGAACTACCCATTTTAGGTTTTAGAACTACCCATTTTCCAATTAGAACTACCCATTTTGGAAAATGGGAGATCTTAGGATGCCCCTGCGGTTTTAAGCAAAATATTGGAAATGGTATAAAAATGACATTTTCATTTATTGTTAAAAATGTTTCAAAACAATATCCATTGTATTGTGTATGATTTATGCCCTAACAATAGCAACTCATGGCTTTAATATCTGTTCCTGGTCCATAGTCTTATATTAGTGATACGATGTATTACAAAAATCCTAAGAAGACCTAAGGAATTATCTGCTGGTAATGATTTAGTAAATAAAGAATATGTAAGGAATGCCATTGCTATTCAACTCAGCGATGATGGAAATTAGGTGTTTCAATAGGCGTAATAATTATTTACCTGTTTAATATCAACATAAACGCTAAGGAATTGTCCGCCTAGCAATATTCCAATTCCTGGTCCAATGAATGCGCTGAGGTACCAAAGACCAAGATACACAGGCATCTGCTTCGGTTCAACGTTCTCATCCAAATAAGAAGGGACCAGTGAATACAATGGACAGATACCAGCACCATGGATAAACTGTGCGATGATAAATATCAACATATAATACCACATGGCTCCACCAGTATTATCGTCACAAGGCTCCGATTGAGACGTTTTGTTGGACAATAAGCACAATCCAGTTTTACTTTCTCGAAAGTCAGGGACGTGATATGGTCCAATCATGAGATGAGGAACAGTGAATAAAAGTACGCCAAAACCTAGGTTAAAATGGAATAATCGTTCACCCAGCCCAGGAATAGATAAAAGATAGACAGATGTCCATCTGAGTTATAAAATTTCTCAAAGCAGTCATCTTGCTGGCAATTGTTGATTGCGTGATATTCGTCATTTTCATTACACCATTGCTTTTATGCTCTCCAATTTATATCAATTAAAAGCCAACAAATTACAACTAAAACGGCAGAATTAGTAAATTAATTTACAGGCAGCCATCAATTAATCTAAATGTTTGAGCGTTCGAGCAAACGTTTTCAAAAAAATAAATAGTCAACCGCAGGAAACCTATAATGATTATAAATCCTTCATAGGTACACCTGTAATCCCCTATTGCGTTCTCAATTATATTATTCGTATTCAGAAAATATTCAGGGTCTCAATAAGTTAGCCTATCTTGACAATTTTATAATTTTTCCAAGCAGTGGTGTCTCACCTGCAACGACCGCCCCTCCCCCAACCCACTTGATCTTGTTGCCATAGTCACCATAGAAACTGATAAAAACGACAAAGAGAAGGGCGGCGATGTCATTAGCGGCTGCAATAATCCCCAGTCCTTTACTGGATAGGCTAAATCTCTTCTCAATACTTGGTAGGATAAGAACAGGTAAACCGTTCATCGATATTGCTGAAATAAACGGTTAAAGTTATTTCCCAAATTCCTGTGTAACAGATTCCGTTGTTGGTTAACTCGAAATCGGCACTCGGTGATTGCACAGAGGCCAAGAAGCATTTAACGACCAAATGATTCAATATACATAGCTTTATCTGAATTTCAAAAATTAGTGGACTTTTTCGGTCACCTTGTGCTGACTGTATACTGTATACCGGTATTTTCATTACGAAGGTTGACCATAGCATATACTGGTGTATTCGACCTTAACTGATTTTTTTTCACTACCAAGGACGAATATACCATATTCCCGTATATACTCGAGCTTCGGAATATTTTTACTACCAAAGGTCGAGTATACAATATTCTGGTATATTCGACCTCAACTTTTTTTCATTGCCATGGTCGATTGTACCATAATCCGGTATATTCGACCTTCACTATTTTTATTACCAAGGTCGAGTATGCCACATACGGACTACAGGGTGAAGAAACTGACATTATAGTAATGATCTCGTTGTTAAGGTGCTCTTAAACGGGCGTGACTACACGAAAAGGAATATAATGGCATCTTTATATTGTTTTTTTTTCACATGGGAATAAATCTAAAGACATACAAAATTGGTAAATTAGCCCACAACTTTCTCATTTCGTCAGTGTTGAAAAAAGGTTTTTAAGAAGTAGTTTAAATGAACTAAAAGCTGTACCTCTTTGACTGGCAGGGGCGTAATTCGGGGTGAATATATTCATATATTCAGTTCTGCCCGACGGATTTCTATTGTAAGCTATTGCACTTACAAAAGAAATCCGTCGGGCAGAACTGTACTTATGAATCCCTCCCCAATCATCGTTCTAGTTACGCCACTGTTGATTGGTGGACAATCTATCCAAAGGCGCCGCAAGAACCAGCCGCTAGGCCTCTTATAAGTTCCTTAGTACACGCGGCGAGGAGGGAACTGACTGGCCCAGAGCAAAATGTTTGATTTAAAGTGGGGACTTTTTGTTCAGCTACGGGAAATTAATTATTCTGTCAGGACTTTGACATATTCATACAAACGTTGCAATGTCATTCGCTGTTAATGCTATCTAGTATCGACCATTGATTAAACTCGAGTCCGTACGTACATGTTTATGATTATGATAAGCTTCTATCCGCCAATTTTAATTATTCTTGCTTCCTTTGTAACGGTTCTTGTTGTAAATTGCAAGCATATACTTTGTATAAACAATTTTTAATAAAAGTTCACAACATCAGTCATCAAATTGGCTGTTAACATTTGAAAACATTTTGTGCTAGGCCTCTCGCGCGTGTTTCATTCGGTGACGTCCCGGATTTTTAAACCTGCGCAATGAGGCCTAGGGACTAGGCTGCGCAAGAACGGGGAAGGAAGTATATTCATATATTCTTGTTCACAGAAAAGGACATTTTGATTAATTTGACGTTACGCGTATTTGGCTTACATGTCACCTGATACGTGTATGTTTACATCGTGCCATTAACAATAATCTAAAGCCGCGTTGATATTACGCTATGGTCGAGGAACAATACAATTATACTTTATACTTTATGCTGCATATTGTATCCGAATAACATGGTTGTAATGCATGAAATTCTAGTAATCATAATGTTTTTTCAAGCATCAGTGCAAACCTTTACTACGGCATAATTTACTACGGTGTAGTGTTTCATCATCGTATTCACTGTTTCTATATATAAAACGTTGGTCGTTATAGACTCGATAGGCGTTGCATTCGAAACGAGGCGCTATGTATGCCCAAAATTGGTATTAATTCTTCCGAGCTGGTAACACATGGTTGCAACTTCGCACCATTAGTTCACTCTTTCATTTTAAAAGGGGTTGACACCCCGACATTCAATTTAAGTGCTTGGAATGTTCGAAATGCTTGCACTTATGAGAACTCTTTACTTTAGATTTGATATGAGAAATCTTCAAGGTTCCAATCGTGTTCCAATAATATCAGACATAAGGTCGTACGGAAATTGCCAATTAACTACATTAACATCCGACTGTACATGTAAGAGCTAGCTACATAGGCTATTTAATGCATATATACTCTTTGTATGCGATTGCAATTCTATGTCGAATGATTGAACCTGTCCATATGTTGCCCATACATTACACGACAATTTTGCAAGATTACTGATTAAATCGTCGTAACTCACCTGCGCCTAACGTATATAACATGATGACGACAAGAAAGCATTTTGAATTGGCCAAGAAATTTAGGCATCCTGGTCTAAATTTCCCCCAGCCAAATTTTGACGTTATTCCGTGATGACTTGGTTGCTGTTCTTGCTGGGAAATGGTTTTGCGCATTTGATATGCCATGATCAAGACACTGCAGCTCACATGAATGTAATATTAAAGATCAAGTCTATCACACAAGGGCATTAATACATTCCCTTTATTTTTATCGCAGTATTTGTTTTCCCAGTGACCAAGGAAACACCTGGAACGATTCAGGTGAATGACTGAATGTAACCCGAGAACGTTTTTGGTGCTTCCGCTTGTTGGATACAAAAAAGCATTTCAGCAGCCGATTGTCCAGTAGACGATCGGTGAAGGTGAGGTTGACAAGAGATTGCTTGGGGAACATAAACAAAAAGCTTGTTTGCGAATTCCCAAGTAAACGCGCTCTCAGCTCTATATCGATACGACAGGTATAGCACTAGCAGTAAACTGCATTCTTCGGTCTGCACTGGCAAATATTCTATTTCATTTTCCCCACCTCATACAATGAGCTTAAGCATGTGACGTTTTTGACAACACAAACGGCATGAGTAACTTGAAAAGACTGGGTCAAGGATTGTGATTGGTGAAAAACAAAAACTTTATTTCCGGTTAACGTACGTGTTGTCAAAATAGTCACTTGCTTGAGCTCACTAATACAAAATTTAGTCTATTAATTATAGCGGAGATAATTTAACATAGCGTGAGATGACTTTTAGGTATTGAAAGGACTATATAAAACGAAACTCCTAGAAGTCATGTAGTCATGCATCCTTACAATAATAGCGTGTGCTTTATATATAGCTCCTTACAAGAATAGCAGTTTTGTTTCAGAAGGACTTATTTTAATACCTCAAAATCATGTCATGTTTCGTGAATCTCGGGTTCATCCCTAATCATTTTTGACATTTTTGAAAAGCTTCTTATCAGCTGTATATATATATACGTGTTATGATTTAGCTGACCTATATATAATTTGTTCTCAAAAGAAAAATTAAAGTATAGAGTATAATTACACTACATTATAGTTTCACAACTTGATTTGCCTTCTGCTTTCTTGTTTTCTATAACAGTGCTATCGAGACTTTCTTTAGGATGATATAAGAGCCACGAAAGCACAAAGAACACTGACGATATACCTTGAAGTAGAAATTATTGCTTAAATACTTGTTTGAGAATTTCTAAACTTAAAAAAGATCAGAAATGTAAGTTGTATTTTTTGCTAGAAAACAGTGTTCCTATAAACATGACGATGGAACACTAATAGAGGTAAAGTTCGCAAAGTATGCAATTTCGCATAATTATTCAGAGGTTATATAGGGATAGGACTGTCAAAAGAAGTAGACAACCAACTAAATTTTGAAAAAAATTATAATTTATGCACTTTAAGCCCTTGCAGTGGTGTGAATTGTTTTAATTTCGCTATATTTTTCAGGTTAATGTACCCTAAAATAACGGTTGGTAATTGTTTCCTACCCATTGATATTGCTCCAAAGATACAAATATTTCTTCCAGCAAGATCAACATCGTAGTCAAAACATCTTCCTCTCTGATCACATAGATCTTGCCACAAGCGGCAGCAAAGGTCCAATAGATGACCAAAGATTATTGGACCTGGAATTAATGCAATTGCCTTCGCCATAATATATTGTATTCCCATTGCAAAAGCTCTTTTGTCTTCCGGAACGCACCTTCAAGGAAGTGATGCAGGGGAAATAACATTAGAATTAACATGCTTTAAACGCGCATTGAAATGACAAGGAAGACAATTTAACAGAATTTACATGAATCCAAATGTATAAAATCTTGTTTGTGAAATATTTTATATGGAAATATTAGTATATCTACTAGTATTCTGTGTTTTTTTTTTGCCACACTACTATCTCATTGTGTAAAATAGGTCGGCGTTTCAAAGTATTTGTTTTGAAATGAAATGAAATGAAGAGAAGTTAAGTTTTAGTTTCGATCGATGTATATATATATATCTGATTTTTTCGTGTATAGAAATGTTATCCCTCGATATTTATTGTACCTGCTTTAAGTAACATTAATTTTCAGAAAACCAGTGACATTTATCAATATTTTTTAAATTGAATTATTGCTCAAAAGCAAAGTTTGGACTGAAATTTAACCTTTTCGAGTCTTTATTAGCACGTCAGGATAATTTTTGGGGTTTTTTTATCAAGCCAAAAAAATCTGAAAATACAAAAGTCTAGCTCTCTATGATCTTGATCTAAAATAGAAATTTTCAAAATAAGTATTTTGCTCTATGAGGCCTGCTTGCATAACACAGGAAGGGTTAATTTGCACTTTTAACTCAAAAGGGTCATAACTCTGGGCACCTGTTCGGGAGTGGTATCGACCTATCTGAATTTACAGAACGATCTATTACCTAAGAACAACAGTTTGCATTGGAATAAAGGACGAAAACCGTATTAATGAAGTGACAGCGATGACCAATAGAAAGATGGCCAGATTCTTACAATCACGATCGCAGTAACCTTGTATTGCTGTATCCGTATTGGTAGGACCAGCAAATATACACGAGCAACTGCCAAATGTCTATTGAAACACAAAGAATAACGTGTCATATAGCCGTGAAAAAAAGTTTGAAAAAGTCTCATGCCGATGTCGTCATATCGGTAGGTAGTGAAATTATGAGAATGGAAGAGACTGGAAGGGATGAAATGGAGGTACGAATAAGCTGGAAATGTCGCACCTAAAAGTGCCTGAGGCGATATTCTTCATCTTCGTATTTATCTACACATATTTCAGAGGAGAGAGGCTAGAGGAATGAAATAATCACAAGCATGCATACATGATATCCTTATAATTATGACTCCGCCCTGGACATTATTACCAAGCGAACAAACAACGTTCTCCGTCAGTTTAACTTAATTGCATTAGAGAGTTGAGGATATCCTGGTTATTCATAATATTACTTAAAGTTGACATGAAATCTGTTTGTGATTCCCTTCATGCAATCCGCTATCGTACCCACACTTTAGAAAAATGTAGATTTTTACTTTTCAAACAACGTTTAGAGTAGAGCTAAGTGTGATCTTGGTAATGTTCTTCCTTCTTTTTTAACTACTACATAAAATTTTAACACTATAATTATGTGATCTACCCACCTTATTGTTGTATTTAGCGGAACAACCAGCATAGCAGGGATTTGCATAAACAATATTGTCAGAGCCACACACGGGTATGAACTTATCTATTCTGCAGCTACAGTTGAAGTTACACTGAGAAATGAGTTTATCGCCCCTGTGACCTGTCAATGCTGAGCCACGGGAGATATTCGTTCTAGATGAAATGAGAATAGATTAATTAAAACTCGAAAAAATCATAGAGATGTTTGGTTGTATAACGTATCCTATCCTGACGTATCCCATAACGCTTACCTATCTCGATAGACAGTTGAAACTCCTGCCATGTTGACATTTAAACATCCTGGGATTAGTATAGCAAATGGCATTGCGATTGTGAATATCTGTGAGATTGCTGTGTAGAGCGGATTTTTTACATACACTTTTCACTGAAAACTGTCGAGCAATGAATGAACCAATCAAAACACCAACTATTTGTAGTAAGAAAAGAAGGTCGCATTGAAGAAACACAGCAGAAGTTTCGCATTCAGGGGAACCGGGGGGTTGGAAATTATTTACAACACAAATACGCGAACATCGCAAAGTTATAACGAATCCGCAGGAATAATATTCATTTTTTCTTTACGATCGGAAAGATAGATCAGACATATAAGTCCATCTACTGGCAGAAATACTTATCGTGTAAGATGCAAGCATTTAGGCTCTTATCTCGGCCTTTATTACAATTAGTGTTTTCATTCATACCCACTGTTGTCGGCGTGAGAATCGCTGATATCAGATATCCATTGGTCACTGGATCTAAGTCAAACTTTAGCTGCATTATTTTCCCCAAAAATGGAGTTAAAGCGGTGACGAAAGTGGCCGCAAAACATAATCCGAAAGAATTAAAAAGGAATGTCCGATTTAAAATTAGAGACTTCAGCTCAGGAATTAATTCTTTAAACTTTGCTTCCTTTTTACCGCCCTTTTTCTGCAAATTCCCTTCCCGTATGTGTCTTTCGCGTCTTTCCCTTGCTCCAGGTAACGAGATGGGAAAACCGGATATAATTATTGCCAGAAGAAGAAATAGTAAACCAAAGACAATGAATCCCAACCACCACGCTCCTATCCAGCGATGATCCTTTGGCGTGAGATTTGATCCACTTGGCTATGGATTAACATAAAATTAAAATTTACGATGGTGCATTAAAGCCCCCCTAACGTTTAGAAAAAATTTAGATTGAATAAATCCCCTAAAAAATTCCTTTGGTGGGCCTTTAGTAAAGTAGTAAAATATTCTTCGGAAAAACGTAAGCAACAAAATTAACAGAACTTGCTTTGGTTTGGTGCATGTTTTCCTGGGTAAAAGCGACCATTTCACCCATAAATGGTGGAAATTTGTTTCCAAAATTCATTGATGTAATGTGATTTGATTACGCATAGATATATATATAATGCCAGCCATGATAACAAATTACTCTATCAATCACCTGTTTGACGTCAACATAGATGCTGAGAAATTGCCCGCCTAGAAATATTCCAATTCCTGGTCCAATGAATGCGCAGAGATACCAAAGACCAAGATACACAGGCATTTGTTTTAGTTCAACATTCTCATCCAAATAAGAAGGGACCAGCGAATACAATGGACAGATACCAGCACCATGGATAAATTGTGCGATAAGGAATATCAACATATAGTACCACATCGCTTCACCACTATTCTGGTCACAAGACTCCGATAAAGACGTTTTGTTGCTCAATAAACACATTCCAGATTTACTTCCTTGAAAATCAGGAACGTTATATGGTCCAATGATGAGATGAGGGAGAGTGAATAAAAGTACTCCGAAACCTATAGATTGAGATGGAACAAACGTACACTACACTTAAATTTTTTTCACGCCACAGCCAAAAATGGGTACCCGTACCGAATTTCATTCGTGCTCGGCCTTTGTATTATATTGCATGAGCATGCACGGATAAAATTCGGTACGGATATATCTGTTTCTGCCGTGCCACATGAATTTTAATAGTTAACAGATTTAATCTAGAAAAGGGAAGTTAAAAAATTTGCATATCACTATTGCCGTGCCAAAAGATTGAGTTTGGTGTAAACGAGGCTTCTGATAAGTATGCCAGTAAATAGCTTTATATTGAACTCGTATAGTGGCTGTCGAAGATTTAAAATCCGACACCAACTAGTAAACTACTAACCATTCAAAATGAGAGTAACCGAACTTATTTTCGAGTAAAATGCGTGAATAGGTAAAATATCGGCAATATTGAATCGCCATTGGTACCATAACAACGGCAATGACGTCATGCTTATGGACAATCTCTGACTGTTAGACTGCTTGTGAACATATCTGGAAAATTTCATTTTCTTCAGCAAGAAATCCCTGCCAAAATTTTGAAACCTAAATCATTAGCTTAAAATTTTCCTAAAATTGTGGGGAGCCACCTTAATTATGCCAGGGCGTTTATATATATATACAAAAGCATATAAGGGCGCTTATATACGTATATAAAGGCGCTATATTTTGCTTCCAGAAATCAATTTATGCTCTTCTGAAAACTGAAAATTCGCGTCGCGTTGCCGCATCGCGTCCCGTCTGCGTCGATCTATACGATACCTGCAACACATGCTCCTCCTCCAACCCACTTGATCTTGTTGCCATAGTCACCATAAAAACTGATAAAAGCAACGAAGAGAAGGGCGGCGATGTCATTGGCAGCCGAAATCATCCCCAGTTCTTTACTCGATAAACTGAATCTCTTTTCAATACTTGGTAAGATTAGGACAGGCAAACCGTTCATCGATACACCTAAAAATGTGTTTATTTTTCAAAGGTGTCCACTTTTCTGGGTCACCGAAGAGCAATTATACTGCCAAGCTATTCAAAATGAAACAATAGATGAACTCTATAGCGTCCGGTCTTTTTGTTACGGTTGATGTAGCGTAAAAATTCGGCAAAGGCTAAAGATTATTTCGCAGGAGCAAGAGAGGCCACAAACTGTGTGATTTTGTGCCTTGAGATTGGCCTTGATTTGGTGGTAGAGCTATTTTTACATACAACTAACACGCTTCGCGAGGTAGTCACATGGGATAGAGAAAAAGAATCAAGGTATATGTAGTGCTGATGTTTCTTCTTGGTGTTGTATTGTTGAGCAATTCTTCAATGTATTGTTCTTATGGTATTAAATGCTGTAGTGAACTGAATTTCAGTATAGGGATCATGTTGAATTGACTTATATATAATGTATGCTTCTTTGCAGATTGGTTGATCAGTACTGGCATGGTATTGATTACTTGGCGTTAATTTGGAAACGGAAAGCGGAAAGTACGTATGCATTCTTCTGTTATATTTCTAGCAAATATTGTTCGGCGGCTCTCTTGTCACCTGGGCTGTATTAGCCTTGACATGCATAGCCTATCGTTGCGTTATGCGGGTTCACCAAACCATGTCATATCCATGTCAAACATTTCAATTGCTAACTTAGTTGATTTAATAACAACTGAGATATTTAATAAAAAGTACGTTCTGTGCATGGGGAAAATTCGTTTCAAGGAAAAACAAAATCGAAAATATTGCTTCATATAGCGTCGAAACCACGTGTTCCGCGCATGGCTTTGCATGATGACATAACTATAACACTGCATAAATTACAATCTCGCAAACTACGCACTTGTGCTGGTAAATCTAATCAAGGCCGTAGCTAGATTGGGGGGTGTATATTCATATATTCATGTTTATATACTGTAGGAGCAAAAGCGTACATACGAAATCAGTCGGGCATAAGACGAATAGTTATATGAATATACACCCCCCCGAATTAAGCTTCTAGCTACGGCCCTGAACCTAATGTAGGTTCGGAACTGCTAGTCATGTTTATATGCTTATCATAAGAAACTTACGGTACTGAGTACCACGGGAAATTTAGGTAATTAGATTATGCATGGTAAAGGCTGCTTTCCACTTACGCGTTTTTTATACGCACGTACACGTACGGAAAATTTTAAATGCTATTAAATTTTTAAAATTTAACATCCAGGTCAAATAATGCATACTAAAATATGCAGAAAACTATGTTCCTTCGATTTATTCACAGAAATTATAGTCTCAGAAATACAAATGGCAAACTATTCGTTCCTAAACCTAAAACTGACTATCTTAAACGCTCCTTCAGTTTTAGTGGAGCTTCAATATGGAATAGCTTGCCTGAGCCCTTGCGTCTCTCTGAATCTCTTTCTTCATTTAAAAGATCTCTAAGAATTAATTGTAATTCTATTTAGCTTAATCCGACCCCCACACGGCAACCTGGTAGAACAGTAGTTTTTATATATCGTTACATAATTTATATACTATAGTTTAGAGTAATTTATCATCTTTACATGTATTTTACTGAATGGTTTACCGTGTTTTAAATAAAGGCGATGTATGTATGTATGTATCAGGATTTAGACTCTACGTGCGTGTACGTGCGTATATGAAAAACGCGTAAGTGGAAAACAGCCTAAAGCATGTTTAAAAAACACACCTTTAAAAAAGACTAAGTGAATGAATCGAGGTAACTTAGTTTTCTGCATATTTTAGTATGCATTAGTTGACCTAGATGTTAAATAATAAAAATTTAAAAGCATTTAAAATTTTCCGTACGTTTACGTGCGTATAAAAGACGTGTAAGTGGAAAGCAGCCTTTAAGTATGCTGTAGCACCCTGGGGAGGATAGTTGAGGTATACTGACACGGTAAAGAGCTAAAGACCTACGAGCGAAGAATAAGGCAAGACTAAGGAGTTGAGTAAAGTTACGGAAAAACATCTGTATGATAGTTCCATTCTATATTCGTATTTGTAGTGCGCTTTTCGCATATTGTTAGTCTCTTTTGGGTTTGGTACAGTTTAAGTTCGGTTTAGGACAGTCACGCTATATTGATTTAGGTTTATGTATTTGTTCTATTTAGTTGAACCATGTTTCACGTTTCACGTTTTATGTCTTTATGTTTTATGGGTTAAATATATATACGGATTATAAACGTTTATGATCTATCATTGTCGTAGCCGTTGGCAGAGGTGCATGTATATATCTACCCATTCTACGTGCGTTTGAACTATTTCCTCACCTCAATTGTGCCCACACCCACACATAACTTTATATATAGCTATATACAATATCTGGACCATTGTTTGCGTTTAATAGTGCATATTAGAGCCCACATCCAATATTGCGCATGATTTGTATAAAACTTGGTTTAGCGAAACTATAGCACTAGACTATGCCAGAGTTGGTTGATTGTTATTAGCGGGCCTTTGATTTTTTATTTCAGACAAAAAAAATTATTATAATATTTATAGATAATCCGGCAATCAAGTTCAGTTTCAGTTTTTTTTCAGTTCAATAACATACAAGTGATATGTAAGACTTTTTAGTCTATTGCTGTTAAAACATGCAGTCACAATTATAATCTAAAGTACCTCAATTAAGAAAGTAAACGGCTAATGATAACGATTGATTATACACGGTAAGTTCGACTTTATTTATCGCCAAGTTAAGCGCATATCTGTGCACTCAGAGGTCACGCACACGCGGCACTTGTGAACTGAATTATCTTGTCTGCGGAGACCAAATTGAAATATTCTGTCAGCCTCGTGTTTAAAATCCAATTATCGAAGTTATTGGGTATTATTTTTTTTATCACACGTGACAAGTATATATGCCATGTGTGCGCTGAAGAAATAAATCATCTGGCATGAAATATCTAATGACACTTCGAAAAATGGAACGATTGAAAGCAGGGCAAATTTGTAAGACTAACTTGTAGATAAGTGGCGGGAATACCCGCGCATTTAACCTCACGCAAGACTCGTAATTTGAAAGGCCATTTGAAATCTTCTCGAAAACCTTCGTTTCATCCGTTGTACCGATGAAAAAGAACAAAGAAAAGCAAAATTAGTTCGCCTCAGACAAATAATCCTCAATTTCGTTCTCCACGTTTAGTTTTTTTATTTGATTCAAGATATCATTTGAATATTTCTTGTAGCATTATTAGTTAACATTTTTTCAACGACTGCTCGCGTTTATCACGAAAGATAAAACGTGTTTGATAATTGCGTTTTCGATACGATGTGACGGAATGTCAAAATTAGATCCCGCAGTCTAGCAATGCGTGTAGATCAAAATTTTCATATGCGTGCGCGCGCAAAGTGCACCAGTGTGCAGTAGTTAGGCTTAATACAACACTCTTCAAGTCGCATTTGAAGGAAGATTTTGGGCTCTTTTGTTTAAACATAATACAGTTAATACATGCAGTTAGAGCTGTGTCGTGAACGTCAAGATAAAGGTCTAATAGTCTCTAAAGCCGGGCGTATACAGTCGTACACTGGTGAACTTAGCACGCACACATGTCACTCGTGGGAATTGTCAACTTCACATATTCCTAGTCTGGTGAGAAAAATTTGGGGTATTCTGTCATTCGTGTCGTTAGATTGAGCTTGAATGATAAAATATTTAATTTGGTCCCTGTAGACTAGGAGGTGACAATTGTCACGAGTGACATCTGTGCCTGCAATACGTTAACCAGTTTGCGCCAGACTAAACATAATTATAGGTGCTACTTCTCCACTTCATGTATGTGACCTTAATTCAATTAATTCCACTTAAATTCCATAGATCATCACGTATTTAGCGAATACCTCCAAAAAAATGAACATAGGTAAAAAAATATTCAAAACCTATATTAGTATACAAGTTTTAATCAGTACAAGTACTTGGCGTGTATATATATACAAGGTTTTTGGATATTTTCGATATTTGAATTATAGTGATTTCTGCAAACCGACAGGCTAAAATAATGCGACTAATGTTTACAAAATACTACTTTTTCAAGCTTTAATTCCATAAGTTGTTTGCATGTTGCGCGGCACCATGCAACAACTTAAAAGACTTTCAATTTTGAAAATATATGATAAAAAATTGTCTAAACCGTAATAGCATTTTTGACATTACAGCGGAAAAGAAAAAAATAGATTGTGTAATGTAAAATGACTGAAACATCATCATGATTGTATAAACTCTGCCAACCAAAACTCAAAAATATGCCAAAACGCAAAAGTCTGGATCATGATTTTAATACCTGTTCTGAACTATACCAAAAAATGTCCCCTCTCATTGAAATCAAGCCTTTGTTAGAATCTGATTACCTGTATTATGATAAACCTAATTAGAAAGACGCTTTATTTGAATGCCTCAACCTGATACCTATGCTATTTACACACTACTGCGTTCATCGTGCATTCAAATTCCAACAAAAGCTTCAGTAGGGTGGACTTTTTTAGGACACCCTGTATATTAACCATTTGTTGGCACTTGATTTGGTGTCGGTATAGCTTGGCTTGTGAAAGTATGTTTGTACCTGCGCTACCCTGTGTAACATATTAGATAATTTTGCAAAACGTAACAGATTTCTTAATTTCTTAAGGAACACAGCTGAGTGAAACTATATAAGTAGTAACTTTGATCGCGATCAGTATCATTATTATGCGTATTTTTTTGCTATGATTTTCTTTTCTCGTGTATTACGAATTCCAGAAGCGGTAGCAAGAATCGGGGCGCGGAAATCACAGTATATAATGATATATGCATGTTCATGCGCTGTATGTGCACCACATGAAAGAATCTGCGTAATATATTATACTTGCTCACTTCCCTACATGAGTGGCCACCCTGCTGTTCACAATAGAAATTCTTTTGGTATACTTGTATTCGGGAAATTCTTTTAGATTGAATAACAGAAATTTAATTTCTTTCATTGAATAAAATTGGATAATTATGGCGTGAGATTAAATATTAAATTGTACTGTAAATACGTAAATTTACCAAGTACATTATAAACTCGGTAAGCGCATGCAAGAATAAACGCAAAATATTCATTATCATGGCCATGTTAGCTAATTGCATACTAAACTTATTCAAATTTTTATTTTTGATCTAAAGCGAAATAAAAATCAATGATCGATTGTTTACACTAACCTGCGCCTATGGTGTATAACATGATAACAACAAGGAAGCATTTTGAATCGGCTAAAAAATTTAAACACCTTGGTCTAAATTTTCCCCAGCCAAACGTCGAGGACATTCCATGATCACTTGGTTGCTGTTCTGCAGGCATTTGCTTTTGCTCGTTTGATAGATCATGATCAGTATAACCGCCGTTTGAGTCCATGGGAGAATTATTAGGAAATGGTACTTTATATTAGGACGTCCTATTTGCGTATCATCGCAGTATCTACCGTTTGTCGTTCAGTGAACTCATAAATAGCTGGAACGATTGGCAGATTGTAACCGGAGAACTTTTAAATCGTGTTTCCACATGCTTTTTGGCACTTCACTAGATGCAGGTAAATTCTAGAGGTTTAAAGGGGCTTAATTTCGAGTGGAATCATACACACTTCAAACTGAAGCCAGGAACAGTGAGTCAACTATAGGTCCCCGGCAGGAATCGAGCCTAGGTTTTTGCGATGCGGGTGTAATGCTCTTGCCCCAGAGCTACAGAGGTAGCTGACAAGAGTAAGCGTGGTTAATGTATATATGATGGTAATTCCGTGTTTCCACATGTTCGATTAAACCCGATAAAAACAGAAATCCATGAGTTTAGATTGGGGAAGAAAAAAAAATAAATTGCTGTATGTGCATTTGCATAAAGTGCGATGAGATATTTATTTAGAAATTGTATAGCCCATTCGCCTAAATTCTCTTATGCATTGGATTTATACCTGATGATATCATACGGGGATGCAGAATTGGGTTCAACAAGGTTAATCATGCATATGCCCAAAACAATGAAAATCACAGAAAATATCGTGTTAATTTTTCTTATTTAATTGTCATCATTTTTACTGATTAAGTCTCGCGAAATTAGCGGTGTATTCGCCCTCAGAGTGTGAAATGGTTGTCATTTTGCTTCATCAGAAATCCAAAGATAAGAAGATTTTTAAATTTGATTTGACGTGATGAAGGTGCTTTTTCAACCTGCTTCCCGCGTTTTCTTTCCGGCCTGTATTTTGGTCAGAGGTTTGTCCGCATTTGAACCAATCAAAGTCGCACACTATTATTACATGTCATCCTATTAGTACATATTATTAGCACAGAGAACGGAGCGAAGTAATAATGAATATGTCAAAATATGAATCACGCCAATTTCATCTAATTGACGCAATTTCCGCTTATATCGTTATGTTACGGATTTCGTGATTTCCAGTTAGGAAAGGGTGGCGCCCATGGCGGTTAAGGGTTGGGTTCAAAGAAAAAAATTTTCGTGCGCGTACCATAACGACAGTACCCAATTTCATGCAGGTGGAATCGTTGATTAACGTGTTCAATTGCGATTGCGTTCAATTGAGAATCTATAGACTTCGACTTAAATATTTTGTATTAATTAACTGTCCTAGCTAAGTCACACAACTAGTTACATCACATTCCACAAATAGTTACATCAACGCAGTATGTTGTAATGTGTAACCATATGGTGTAACTCAATTATATACCCGTTAACATTGCAGGCTTGCATGTATTTGGAAATTGGATGGCCTGATCACTTCTGACGCATGGAATGTAGTTTGTTGTTGATAAACCAGTACTGCACGCATTGGCTTTAGTTCACTGTCCATGTTCACGGCTAGTCAACAGACCATAAAATATCCATCAAAAATTGTGTTAATTTAATTGGATCCGACAAAATTGGATCGTGCGTGTAAACAAACCTACAGAATAAAAATAGCATAAATTGGCAGTCAGTCACGCACACCGGAAGATCTACTGTGTAGCTTATTGTAGAGATTTTTTTTGAGAATTTGCTGTGTATTATTAGCAGATTTCTGTCATTCGTGTCTTAAAATCCAATCATCAGATATATAATATAAAAGATTTTTAATCACGTTTGACAATTGTACCTAATGTGCGCTGAAGCAATTGCAAATGCGGATAAATAATTATTCGGTTTGAATTATGTAAATGTATCTCGAAGTATGGAAGAGGTGGAAAATGTTTCAAAAAAAGATTTTGTACAAATATTATAATTCGAGTCAATTACAAATTTTCATTACATCGCTTCGCTTGTTAATTTCGGCGGGAAAAGTCCCGTTTTCTATACAATTTTGGTATAAATTTCGAGGTGACTGGTCAAAATTCTCTGTTTCTGAAGCGATAGTTACTGGTGATACTCGCAAGTAATTATAAAAGATGCAATCATGTCGATTCAAATAAATTTAATTCGAATAAGTTCAATTCAATGAATTCAAATCAATTCAATTCAAATCAATATTTAATCAGTTCAATTCAACTCAATATGAATCAACTCATATCAAATCGATTCAATTCAGATTGAATCAACAGAAATCAATTCGAATTAACTCAAATCAGTTCAATTCAAGTCAAAACAATTGAATTTAAATCAATTCAAATCAATTCAAATCCAGTCCCTTACGAATACAATCATTCCATGTGAATAAAATTCAATACGGATCAATTCAATTCAATCAATATAATTCGATATCATCCGCAATTTAATTGAATACAATTCAATCGAGTACAAATCAATTTAATTTTGTACGAATTACTTTCGAATCATTTAATTAAATTCGAATTAGCTCAATTTAAAGAGATTGAAATACAATAAGTCCATTTCGAATCAATTCAATTCGGTATCGATTCGATTCAAATAAATTCGATTTGAATCAATTCAAAACAACTCGGATGAAAATCAATTCAATTCAAAAAAATTCGATCCTAATTAATTCAGTTCCATACATATCAATTCAATTCGTTTATCGGCTCATTTCTGATCAATTCAGTTCGAATGAAATCAAATCGAATCAATTCAATACAATATATTTTTAATTTATATCGGATCAATTCAAATAAATTGAAATACAATCATTCCATTTCTAATCAACTCAAGCCTATATCAAATCAGGAATTCGAATTAAATCGAGTCAATTCTATTCAAATCAATTCGAATCAACTCAATTTAAAACAATTCAAGTGATCAAGTCAAATCCATCCAATGCATTTCAATTGTATATCAATTCTATTAAAGTCAATTCAAATAAATTCAATTTGAATAATTCCAATTCGAATAAACTCAATAATTTGAATGAATTCATATCAATTTCAAATAAATCCAATTTAAGTCAATTCAGTCCAATATCTTTTCAATTCTATTTGATTCACAACAATCCAAATGAGTTCAAGTTGAATCGATTCATATCAATTCAATTGGAATCAATAGAAGTAGATTGAAATATATTCGATTTAATTCAGTTCAAATATATTCAGTTTGAGCCAATTCATTTCGAATCAATTTAGGTCCATTCAATTTGAATCAATTTAATTTCAATTCAAATCAAATTCAATTCCAATCAATTTAATTGTATCTGAATTCAAATCAATATCAATATGTAATCTCGTTCCCAGGCAACGAAGACCCTGACGTAACATTTTGCCCGAATAGATATGAGAAAACTGTCACTTTACTCTTTATATTTGTGGTATTTGAGCATTCGTATAATTCATTAATATAAATGATTACACATGATGAAACCGAATTCCTGGACCCGGAGCGGTGTATACAGAAGACCCTGAGAACCAGGTTGTGAATTTAATTGCACTGAATCCAATTAGAAATATTTCAATTCCAATGAATTCAATTCGAATAAATTCAATTCGGATAAATTCAATTCGAAATAATTCAATTTGAATCAGTTAAATTAAATTAAATTCAAATCACTCAATCCAATTCAAATCAGTTGACTCTGTATCAATTAAGCTCTACTGATATTGATTAGATTCAAACCAATTAAATCTAAATTAATTGAATTTGAATCAATCAGCTCAGACTTTCATATGGTTTGCTAGGGGAAGAAACTATAAAACTATGACATATTTCCCCTACGCAATACAGCGTGAATAATTTCAATTTAATTCAATAACAATTGAAATTGAATCAATTAAATTCATATTAATTATTCCTTTTCGATTCAATTCAATTCAGTATCCATTTAATTCAAATCAATTCATTTCGAATATAGTCAAATCGGTTAAATTTGATTTAATTAATGCAATTAAATTCAATTCAATGTTGTATACCAGTTATTTTGAATGTTTCCAATTTGAATCCCATTCAAATTCGTATCAATTCAATTCGCTTCAGGCAATTCAATTAATTTAAATCAATTAAATGCAAACTAGTTCAATTCGAATGAAATTGGAATCAGTTCAATACCTAAAAGTTCTATAATTATTTTTCGGTATACAAAATTAAATATGAGTATTGCTATTTTCTTGTCGTAATTGGCGCTAAACAAACGAAAAAAAAAGAGTAAAAGTAAGAAATTAATGAACGCAGAATGTATGAGCGATAATCAATTCATTTTAAGGATCCGTTACCGGCTGTTATTAGATACCGTAATATCATGTAATTATAATATTATATATTCAATGAACCTGTTAACCTTACATGCATGAGTAAGGAAATAGTTGCGGAGAACCTCTTTCCGCAAACCAACAACGTAACCGACATAGCTTGGTTTGGGGATAACCATTGTTATTATTTATTGAAAATGAGTCAAGAGTTTTGATTGGCCAGCAGCTGTTGGCGAAATCGTCATATCCGCTCGGCAGCTGCCCAAATTTGGACAGTGACGTCACTTCGTCGGATATGAAAAAAATTATTGCACGTTTGACGTCACTTCGTCAGATATGAAAAAAATTATTGCACGGTATGACGTCACGCTAATTTATGCGGCTTGTGCCAAAACCTAAAAGCGGGAAAATACGAATGGCTAAATCAAAGGAAAGGTAAATTTTTGCAAATAAATAATAAAACAATTATTGAATTCGGTTCTCGCAGGATATGAGGAATTATCAAGGCCTCGGTTTGTGTTATCCGCCTCAGCCTTCGGCTTCGGCAGATAACACAAACCTCGGCCTTAATAATTCCTCATATCCTGCTCAACTTCATTCAATAATTGTTTATTGTTGTTTACTTGCTTATTCACCCTGTATTGCGTAGCGGAAATATGTCATAGTTTTTCTCCTTGCAAGCGATATAAAAGTCTGAGTACAACTCGACAATTCATGCATTATTCAAAAGGAGCTAGCCTGAAAAACATCATTGCTTTAAAAACGAAATTAAAGAAGTTACATGAAAAGAAACACAAATCAAAAGAAAAGAGAACCGTTACGATAGAAAGAATAAAGAATTGTCAAGATATTCAGAGTTGTGCTCAGACAGACAAGTTGAACGGTATAAGTCATTTTAATTAAGTAGTATTACATATCAAAAGTTAAAAAGACGGTAATTGTTTAACTATAAGTATAGTATCAAAGAATAAATAATTGAAAAGTAATAGGTTTCACAAACTTTGTTGCGAGCGAATTGAGCCAAAAGCGCAGCCAAAAGTATTAAGCCGGACCCGATCGTAACCCGGCCTTTTATCAAAATTGCCTATCTTTATTCGTTAATATGCCTAAAATATGTATATCGTGTATATTTGTGAAAGAATGGAGTTTATCTGTCTCATGATTAATTTTCTGAAATAAAAATCGACTCGTGACTTGACATAAAGGAAAACTTGTGAAGCAGTGGTTATTGCCAACCGCAGTTATCCTTCGGCATCCACCCCTATGGCGTTTCCTGTTTTTCTGATATCTGCGATAGCGATATCCACCCAAATTCTTTGCATGTTTATTACTAATAATGGGACTTCCTTCTTTGCTGGAATTGATAAGTATATCTTTATAAATATGAAAACTCTGGAGCTGGGCTCCTTCTCAAAGAAACATCACTGGAGGCTGGCCTAGACCGCCTAGTCTTTTTACGTTGTCAACCCTGAAACCTGTTTGATATTTCCTATAAGCGACTACAAACAACACACATAGAGCAAATAAAAAATACACCGTCTTCATATACTTCTGTTTTTGATGCGATTTGGCAGAACTTCACTTTGTCAACGTCGTTTGACGTTTAAGGCTTACCCAAACGCAAGTCATGGCTATATTTTTATGCAAAGATCGCGCCAATTTTGTTATGCGTAATACTGAAACGCTTTCAATTACTATACATGGTCACTATACAAGAATGACCAATGATATAAAATCATTCTTGATTTTATATGGATTAAATCGCTTAAGAGGGATTTGCCTCATAACTTGACATATAATTTTACTCAGTTGCTTACCCCTTTCCCTCCTTTCAATGCATTCCTGGTTCACAAGAATTATGGCTTGCCATGCATTCTAAGTTTCACAGGCTCTGCGAGAAAACCCCTATTTTTTGCTCACCATCTACAATAAACGCTTTGCAAAGAGTCACCAAAGAATGAATTGGGATAATTGTCTCAGTTCTCATACAAGTCATCGACATTCGGCTACCGGCTACGTACAGTTAGTACCCAGCGATGGAAAATAACTTTGGAAAACAAAAACGCACTTTATGAGTCAGGAATCAGGGAAAATGGCCACGTACCAAATCAGTTAATTGCTGGGTTTCATGTTAATCCGGTTACCGTTGGTGCAATCTAAATATAGCTATAAGTTACCCGACTTAAAAATTTGAGTAGATTTCATGCCGATTCGAATAGCTTCTATCTTGAAATTCAATTCCAGAGACGAAAATATTGTATTTATGGCATGTAGTTTTTGGCGTTTTAAGTAATTTTGACAAGATCGTGTTTCTTATTTGCCAAAAGCAATTTTGAGCAATAATGAAGTGATGAGAAATATATGTATCTAAATTCATTTGGCCATTTTTTTGCCTTCAGGTGCAATCGCTAGCTATACTGAACTGGAAAATTTATGGTACCGTGTGACGTCGACCACTTCAGTAACGCTGTCAACACCGCCACTTTCAGGAGAAACGTTCATCTTTTGCATGGCAGATAAAACTATGATGGTGATACCTGGGTTGAACGATGAAAGAAAATGAGGTATAGCAACTCGTACTATGACTGATCTAACAAGAGCTGGTCAGATAAAACAAAAAAACAGCTGTTTGTTCATATAGAAAACTACAGGGTTTTTAGTCAAGATCTTGCGTATAGCATTTATCGCCAGCGAGAGTACTAATTCCGCTAGGATATTAGAAATAACACCTGGGTATAGTGAGAGAACATAGCGGAATCCAAAGTTCCCCAAATTCTATGTCATGGACGTTGGACATTTAGTGGTTGCGCATACTTTTACCTGCATTCTATAGGGCAATGTTTTCACTTTATGACTATTTTGACCGGATTATGGAAATATAAGCTATAAGAATAATATACTCAATAATTTAGACTGATTTGAGTTTTTAGTCATTTCATATTATAAGTTTTCATATTGTAAGTTTTATTCACTTTGCAAAATTTCAATGTAACGGCTGTCTCGTAAATTCCAAAAACATTGAAACGACGGCAAAAGCTTACATTGCAAGTGAGAAAACAAGGCTATATTCTACAGAAAGAAATTAACTACTCTTCGACAAAATGGTATTAATTATATTATAAATGTTCTCAATCGTTCGATAATTAACAAAACAATATATTTCTTGCATTCCTATTCTTTAACATATCACAGAGAAAAAGAATCTCATTCATGCAAGTAAAACTTATACTAAAAAGTACGTCATTAAACGTTCTAAACAATGCAATCAATCTATAATAACTACTAACATAAAATTACTCAATATATTATTATGAGTAGCTATATAACAACGAAGGATTTCGTTTTAGACCAATCAGAAAATTTGTTTACATTTTCATCAAGCCAATCAGAATGCATAATTAAATCTTGATTACTTCGGATAAAAAGTTAAATCATCTGGCATATGGTAAAACATGGACTGGACTGGTGGACATGTAGAGTACAACCGTGGTAGGTTGTTGACTACAGCGTTTAACAAACGAAACTAGTACTACAGAACTAACTAAGTAACTGTTGTAAAGCGGAAACTTACGTAAAAGTCCCGTTTTGTCGCTCAAACCACGATATATCATACATATTTATGTTTATATGACTACAAAATTCCTCGAAACATGTACTTTTCCAAGTACTTCAGGATACAAATACTAAGTCTAAAGTCTGCCTCCCAAATGTAAAAATCCAACTGAGCAAAAACATGATCTACCCAAAGTTTATAGCATCTTCAAATCGGAACTGGTTCTTGCGTCATATATAAATCGCCAATTAAGTAAAATGTTGCTGCTATTGTTTTTCTTTCTTAATCATCTTGAATGCTGCTATAGTTGTAAAATTTATAATCAACTTGGTCAGGATCCTATATCAGCAACGTAATAAAGAGTAAAATGTTTCTGCTATTGTTTTTCTTTCTTAATCATCTTGAATGCTTCTATAGTTGTGAAATTTATAATCAACTCGGTCAGGATCCTATACCAGCAACTTAATTCACAATAAATAACTGTCAATTTTTAGAGGCAGCAATTCTATTATATACCAGATGTTTGGAATATCTTTAATAAAATATTCCTGTAACCACAATGACTCCGTCGAGACATGAATAATTGAAGAATAAAAACATATGAAAGTTACAAAATATTAATGATCAATGCTGGGATCATCATCATTGCCAGTATGATTTTAAGTTGTTAAATTTTTTGGAAAACCACTGTAACACCTTGAATTCACCAGTTTGCACTCCTGGCCCTTTTTTGCTGTAATCTTGAACCGAACGTTGGGGCATTAAGGCTACAGTCTCACGAAATTGCAAGCTTCGAGATGATTGATCTATTGAAATTTCATCAAAAATTTTCTTCAATGATTTTCCGAAATGCTTGAGATTAAAAAGTTCATTTTGAAGTTGAATTACTTGTTCGGACGTAGTGCTAATACCTGTAGCCATAGCCTCGTCCAAGATTTGTTTTTCCTTCTCGTATGCAGACCGAAGCTTTTTTAGTCGTTCCAAAAGCTCGGCGTCACGCGAAATTTTTGGTGATTCTTTTGCTTCTTTGATAGCCAAGTCAAGGTAATCTCCAACGGCGTCGTTATACGGGATAAGAGCGTTGTCTTTAAGAAATGCTCCATACTTCGCGCTGACCTGCATGATTAATTTCTCCTCGTTTTGAAGCTCATTCAACATGCCGTCAATAAACGCCTGGTATTCCTCTTTTCGTTCTTTCTCTGTCTTCTTTGCCAGGATTTTCTTTTGGACATCCTTTGAAATGAACTGTTTGGAAACTTTTTCCAAGGTGTATGTCAAATGCATGTGATCATTATAGTGATGACGGCATTTAAGGCAGTATATCCCACTGATGCATTTACAACCTTGAAGCCTTGGATCATTCCTGGTCTCTGTGGGAACCCCGGAAATATTGCAATGATCGTGACAAATCTGCGTGAAATTCTTCCTGTTGACGATCTCATCACCACCAACAGCTACTATTTCGGTACAGGCGGAATTAGTACATACTGTCATAGGATACGGAAGCTTCTTTCGTTCCAAATCTACCCCAGTGATATTTAACTTTTCTTCCAACGCCTCCATATTAAGCGTATCATTCTTTATCTCAACCATTGCATTGTTTGCTTCTTGGACGTTCTCTTGTATTGTCTTCGCAACTGCGGCCATTGGTTTGCTCATAGCTACGACCACTCTGCGTGCTTCATTCATACTGATTGTTTTTTTAGTCTCATGTGGAGGTATTTTTTTGATATGACCAAACAATTTATTCGTCTCGTTTACTGCTTTTTCCCAACTTGCGGCGTATATCTTGACGTCCTCGTCACTGAAAGTGATCTCATTGTGGAGACACGCCAAAAATCGGAAAGCCTCGTTGTCAAAGCAGAAATAATTTTTGGGATTGGCTGTTATTCCGATTCTTTTTTCTTTCAACATTTTGTTTAAGGAAGGTAGGGTATCACCAGGCTGGTAAAATGTCCCTCTCGAGTTCGTGAAGCAGAATACGATATTATTCTTTGCGGAAGTGTGCAGCCTTACGAGAAGCTCTTGAATGCAGAACCGGAACATTGCATTTAGTCTTGAATTGTTGGGTTTTAACAAGATGCAAACCGCGTGGATCTCATCATAGTGGTTCAAGTAGGAAAGGATATTGTCAAAGTTCTTTCGATCTTGTTCAATCCCCCGGCTATCACCTATACCTGGCGTATCAATGAGACGAATCTTCAAATCACCAACATGGAAAAGATAGGATCTTGTTTCTTGGGTGGCAGAATGTCCAGGCTGCAGCACCTCATTTTCAGAAATCTCACCGATCTTTACCTCGACGGATTTGCCATCTTTTGTAAACAAGAACTGGGAAGGAATGAGGACAAGGAGATTGTCTGCTTCTCTAGCCTCGTTCAAATCAGCAAACGACAGGTAATTTACTATTCCATTAATCCATGTGGATTTTCCGACACCAGTTTCACCAAGAATCAGAATATTCATCTCTTGAATCTCTCGTAGGACGCTCAATTTTTCACGCAGGAGCTCTTCTGGATATGAGATGAAATCAACGCCATGACTGCTTTCATTGCAGCGAAAAAGGGACTCGGTAGGCTTCGATTCACCACACTGGCAGTAAAACAGAGAGGTTGTCAATCCATATTCTATCAATTCTTTACATTTACTGCAATGCCAGGTTATGGGACCACTGGAACACTCTTTTGTGCCGCTGACGGAGTTTGGACACATAATCTTAACATTCGCTCTTTTAATTGGCCTGCAGTTACAAGTTCCTGGTTTACCTTGCTTCACCAGGCACATTTGGGTTAATTTGCCCTCTTTTTCGTAAAAGTTGTCACAAGTCTTGAGACCATTCTTGTACTCTTCGATGATCTCTTTATTCTTTCTTTTCCCCCAGAGGTCCGGTCGAATATTTTCGTCAATGACTTTGAACATCGTTCCTTGTTTTTGAGAATAGATTTTCTGATATCGCAGGAAAAATTCTTCGTTTTTCCGGTCAGTGTTGGAATTCGGCTTATAAAGAATATACATCACGTCTGCATCATCAACAGTAAATTGATCTCTCTTCCCCAAGTAGATTATACCTCTCCTTTTCCAAGCTTTGATGGTATTAACTCTATTCAAGTCTCCCTGGAACTGTCGTATATGTTCGTCATACTTTGCAAAAAGGGAAGATTCGCCAGAACTTTCACTTACAAATTGATCAAGTGATGAAACGTCAGCTTCCTGTCGACGAACTTTTTTCACCAGTTCTTGCAGCTTGTGCTTAAATGTTGATTCATCTAGCGTGATAGAATCCATATACTTGTCGATGTCAGAAAGTGAACTTTCAGCGACAAATTCCTCAAAGGTATGTAAATCTTTTTGCACGTCAAATAACTTCTGTCTTTTGCTGATGACACTCTCCATGAACTGTGCGACTCGCTTGATGCTGTCTTCTTGTACGCTTGAAAAATGCAGCTCTAAGGTTATTGGCAATCGGAAAATCTTCGTCACTGCTTCAAGAGGCATTAACATGTACAATATCGGAACTCCCTTTCCCTTATTAGTTTGCTTAACAATCTTAGGGAGATTTTTAGCAAGTTCAAGTGCGCCTTCGAATGTTGTAGGGAGATCTTTATCTGTTGTTGAAACGTCACTTTTGCACTTGAATGTGAAATTTTCGAGCTTCTCTTTCTGAATGTCTTTGATATCAACTTTTGCGGAGCCTTCGACGTTAACGATTGCCTTTAGTTTCTCGAGATGGACACCTAAAGCTCCCTTGACAGTAGACTCGTCTTTGCCATCGCTGTTCTCAGACTGACAAGTGATCGAACATACAGCGCCCCAGTCAATACCAACAACGACGTGAGTTGCAAGAAGATCTTCACCAGCTTTCAGAATTTCCAAATCAATCTTGTCTCTATTTTGGCGCAACATAAATTCTTCGTTGATCGTCCTAATTTTGTACACTAAGGACATACTTTGCGCTCGAGCACTCTTCTTTTCTTCATTAAAGTAAGCGCCAGAGCCGTTCAACTTCACTAGACCTGCTAGAAGACTAACCTGCAGCTCAGCCTCAATGTTTAACTTGTTAAACTTATCTTGAATGCTGTCCGACATGACCAGTTCGACCGATGTATCGCCCAGTTCCATTGTGTACACGGAATCTTCATCTATTTTTGACACAAATAACGAATCATGCTGCAAGGTAGAATGATAGAACTTAATCAATGTACATATGATGGCGGCATGAACGCAGTTGTACAAGATCTAAACGTACAGGGGGAGCGGTCTCCGTGGCTGTAATTTGAATGAGTGGTTGATTGCATGCATTGAAAAAAGTTAGATCTTGAATTAAAGGAGAAATAGATTTAGACTGGGGAACATGGTATTAATACACATATTGCGATATGTGTATTGATAACTTACCTGTCGTTTTTTATTAATTTTAGTGTTCTAAAAGTCATTGTTATATACCTAGTTTTAAAAAAATTATTTTCTAAATTGCCATTGGGCAACGACCACCTTGAAGATGACTATAAACAGAGGAGTTCAGTGGCGAGATGCGATATCATTTTGATGAGAGAAATGAAGCGCTTCAAAAGAACTTGCGAACCCCGGAAACTATCTTCAAAGCTCTTATGCATCCCTGCTGCTGCTATGTTTTACTAAATTGATACATGCAAGCGCGAGTTGTAGCGCGTGAAAGCTCGCAGCAGGCTAGAACTCGCGAGCTAGGAAAGACCAGGGATAGAAAAGACCGTACGGAATTGCAAAGATGTTTATATAGGAAAAGGAAAATTGCCAGCGCCAAAGGCGCCTATCGGCCGCGAGGCGCAGCGCGCTTTATTTTCAGGCCCGTCACGGTCGTATATATATACATGCGCATATTTTCAAAAACCGCTTCCTCCGCGCGGGTAATTTTTCATTACGTCTTTCATAAGTTCGTCACAGCTGTATGAGCAGATTTTCAAAGGCGACTTCGCAAGCGCTAGCAAAGCGCTTTGTTTTTAGGCCCGTCACGGTCGCGTGGGCTGTCCCCATTGCGCTTGAGGTACTGTCCAGAAATATTGGAACACTGCGGTTGCCGTTCGGTTGCGGTCGACCGATAGAAACCGGAGACGACCGCAAGGGAAAAATACGATCGCGGTCGCCGTTTGCCTCCGAACATCTTAAGAAATGTCTGTCAGAGAGAGTTAGGCCGAGGTTCAACCTCCGTCTCGCTGCAGTTCGACCTAGGTCGTCTCAACCGCGATCAGACCGAGGTTTGACCTTGGATAACCGCGGTTTTTGTTAGGTTATTCTGGACAGTATACTGTATATGTAATGAGAAAACTCAAAACTTGTGCAACAGTGCATTCATTCTTTAAAATTTGCAGAGAAATTCAGAGATATTCATTGTGAATTATCTTAAGAGCTATAAAAATTTCCTACCCGCTAAAAGCGATGCTCTATTACGCCAAGATGCGATTCTCTATATTACGGTCGCATGCATGGGCAGATTTTCAGCCTTAAGTCGCCGTAAAAACAGATGAAACCATAGGCAGCCCAGTCAATGCCGGTATGCCATACTATCTTATGCATATAAGTTTCTTAAGCCTGGCAACTCTCTGACAAACAATATAATGCATACATTAATATAATACCATGCATGGCTTGAAACACAAAAATTGCGTTGGTTTCTTCAAAAGAAAACTAGATACAAAACACCTTGCCATATATTTGCTAAATTTATCTGACTTGAAAACAACTTAAAAATGCTTACATTTTGCAAATAAAAAGTGTATTTTTATCGAAATTTCGTTAAACAGAGGTGGGATCCATTTAATACTCGATCGACAACGCCATCATCGGAAAAATCGTCGGCAAATTTCTGATTGGCTGTTGAAAGTTCGGAAAATTAATGAAGGCCAACTCATTGAAGATAAAATGAAAAACTTTCAAAAGCCAATCAGAAATTTGCCAACGAATTTTTCCGACGATGACGTTTGTCGAGTAAATTGCATCCCGCCTCTGTTTTAACAAAATTTCGATAAAAATACATTTATATTTGCAATTTTTTGTGTTTCAACAAGCCATATGGTATTAATGTATGCATTATTTTACAAACGTAATTTTTGTGTTTCAACAAGCCATGGTATAGTGCCTCGAGAAAGTCCAGTTCTGTTCGGCAGTGCATGGGATTATATATGCAAATGCTCATATGCAAAATAGCTCAAATCTAGTTAGAATGCTCCCTATACTGGTATAACTTGCCAAAAATTACCAAATCTGCATACCAGAGTTTGGATAAAAACGTGTATCTTTATATTATAGGAATTAACCACATTTAGAGGCTTTGCATGTCATCCGCGACAATATTTTTTGTTAAAACCTAAATCCTGTACATCATGAATTAGGCGCTATTTCTTAAATAAAAATTATATAACGCAATTGTGCGCGAACCAGAAATTATGCATATATTTTTAAAAATTTAGTTTTAGTTTTAATTCCATGCACTAACTTTTAACTGCAGGTCTAGGCTTCCTTGCATGCATGCATGTGTTCTATATATCTTACCAAAAATTGCTCTGTTCTGACGTCATAAAGTGCACCAATGCTCGCAGCCCTTCCGAGCGCAGCTCTGTTGATTACCGACTGCAACATCTTGACCAAAACTATTCTTGTTCAGTTATGAAGTGATGAAGAATATGTAGTCTATGATTAAAATATAAAAATTATTTTGTGGGCAGCTATTGTATATAAGCCCCATCGTATATTTACGCCAAATGCATGCAGGACTGGAGTTTCCTAGAACTCCGCTTCCCGTACCACCGGTTTCACATGTTCTAAAACGCTTGAAGCATGGGTTCTAAATTTTAGAACGACGCAATTAAGCGTCGCCAGATTATAATCTAAATAATCTAAGCGACGCTTTCGTTAGTTCAGTGTTAGTTACCAGGACCGGCGGGAAAGTAAATAACAACATGGCGGCTCGTCGAAGTGCTATGTTATCCACATCACAGCGTCCAAAGCGCTTTAAAGCGGCGAAAATCAGTGTTTTGAGTGTTTCAACGTCGGGAAAAAAATCAAGAAAAAGCTTTTCTTTAAAAGTTCGGAAAAATACAATTAGTGACAGAAGTGTTGATAGACAATATGGCCAAGGAGAGTTAGATTCAGCGGTGGATAATATAAATCAAGGCACATTTGAACAGGAAATATTTGACGAGTCAGATCAGGAGGGCCCTGTAACGTCTCAACACAATAAACGGAGATTTAAAGAGTTCAGTAGCTGGGGAAATATTCGGGAAGAACTGTTAAACGGCCGAATTGAGACAGAGGCCGAGGGGTTCTTTAATAGCAGCCAGAAATGTTGTGAATGTGGGCAAAATCAGGTTGATGTTCGTTGTAACGAATGTGGCATTGAGCAGTATTTCTGCCTATTATGTGCTGAAAATATTCACGGGCGACGAAATTATTTCCATGTTTTGGAAAAGCTTCAGGTAAATGCAATTCATACTTTATTTTCATGTAGAAAATAAGTAAATGTTAGCAAAACACCATGCAATCCAGAAAAAGAGGATAGAGTGTCATTTTTGTTTTCTTTTATATGTAGGATGAAAACATTGTGCCATTCTTTGTCAATCATGTTGTCATTGGAAGAGAGCATCAACAAAACTGTCCATCAGCCCAACCTAGAAATGTTGTTTGCATTGATCAGTTTGGTAATTAATTTCCTTTGTATAAACACATATATACTTGTAAGAGTTGTTGTTATTGTTAATGGAGTTTCCAATACATCTCAGGATAGAGTTTATCCATGAAATTCAAACATGATTTAGATTGAATAATTAGTTGCCAATTCTGTATGATATTTAGGTCGCCAACATCATAAACAGATACTGTTTTGTGATTGTGAGAAGGATGCTGTAACATTGATGAAAATGAAGTTATGGCCAGGAAGTGCAACAAGACCAACTCTTGCTTTCCATGTTCAATTAATGGAGCTGGCTCGAACTCTTCTATTGGAGTGTCATGTTTCCCTGAAAAAGTTTTGTGATGCGCTAGGAATTTTTTCCAAAAAATCAACTCTTCCAAAATGGGTATAGTATTGTTTGTTTAAACATGCATTATCATTGCTACTAGAGGCTCACATTAGACTTCCACCACTGTGACCATTATATTAAAAAACATAACATACACATATCTTATTAATGGCTCACCAGATCACAATTTTTTGGCAGGTTAACAATATCTACTCCACACTAAATACTGATTCATTTGATGAATATCGGTAGAGTAACTATATAATTATTTTTGATATGTGGTACTGGTAAATTCAGAAATGTAGAATGCTTATATGTTTGCATATCATATAATGCTGTATATATATTTAAAATCTAGCTATCATCAGTATTTGCTTGGAGCTGGCTTTCCCATTAGAGAACAAACCATCACAAAGCACTCATGTCCTCTTTGTCCTAAGGTACAGTGGTAGTATTTATTAATTAACTGCCACATTAAATTTCAGGTTTGATTTAGAGCTGTATTACCTGTATATAGACATATAGTAAACATTGTCTTTGCACAAATGGCGTTGTAAAAAATAGTTTTGCAAGTAACTTGAATTTCTTCTTATAGGAAGGGGAATCTGGTATTCTTATAGAATCTATGGATGCTTGTTTTGGTTTGGTGCGAAAAAAGTCTGCTGCCAAATGTATTCTTCCCCCACGGCATCAACTGACTATGTTCGCAAATCAAACTGATGTTGATGAATTTGTTGAAAATTATACATCCAATGCCAAAAAAGCTGATACAGTAAGTATGCAATTTGAACCAATAATCTTGAACAACTGAAAGTGTTTTTATTAAGTCTTTTTCTATTATTTAGAGCTGCAATGAGTTTAAGGCTGGGGAAGTTAACAGTATGCTTCGGTCCAAAGGAAAAAATAGATTATATGATGAGAAAGGTGTTTTTGGTCGTGTATGCAGACATGATTATCCAAAAGGCTTTATAAATATCAAACATGGTGAAAGGTACAGTAATGTGTGTACAAATTGCCCATATATGTTTCACATGTTAATAGTTAATCATTTTACAGAATTGCATACTCTGTACATGAGCTAGAGCGAGTAATCAGGACTTCAGATGAAAATTGCAAGATTAGAATGACATATGATATTGCTTGCACATTGGTAGCACATTTAAAGGTAAACAAATGTACTAGTAAAACTAATTGAATTCTTATACTGGACTGTTTTTTCAACAAATTCGATTTTATTTAGCAAACAACTAAAAACATTTCAAATTTTCAATGCATTTTTGCTAAGTTGCATTATTGGGACATGTATTTTGGCAAATCAAAAATGTATATGCAGTATGGTATTTCTTTAGAAAAATTCAAGACAAGATATTTTGGACCGCATTGGGTTTGCAATACCTATTTTTCATTGCTATGGCCATAAGTCATCATGCCAGGTGATTTATTTGTTCTTTAACCACTAGTCTCTACTAATGTAGATGGTAAATAGCAAGGCTTTGATTAAATCAACAGCTTTATTACTTCAAAGGTTATAAAGAAGACTGCCACTATATAGTATCGCTGATAATATTGTTAATGTACTTCATGAAGTTCATACTTTACCTACCTGTTGAACTTCAATATTTGAACCTCTCAGGTGAATTTAGTCCAAGACGACAAGAAGGGTATGGCCTGACAGATGGTGAAGGCATTGAAAGGCTGTGGTCTTACCTAAGAGGGTTTTCCTCAATCACCAAAGAAATGAGTGCTGGACGACGAACAGATGTGCTAACTGATGCTTTGTTACATTATGGTGCTCGTCAGCTTCGAAATTTCGGTATAGAATTGTCTTTAGGAAAAATAAGTGTGTAAAATAATTTTAATGTGCAACAATTGTATTGTTCAGGAACTTCATTGCAAGCGAAACTTAAAAGGTGCTCAAGTATAATAGTGCATACATTGTCGCAAATACAAGAACTATTTTCCAAATTGCCAGGTAATTTAAATAAAGCCTTTATATTAGTGTACTGACTATAAAAGAACAAAAATGTACAGAATATACGGTATAATAACTTCGTAATAATTTTAGTTGCATATGATCCGTTCCTTATTAACACTTGGATGGAAGAGGAACGCAAATGTATTCAAGAAAGGAATTCCAAGAAAATGCGTTCGTTGACATGGGAGGAACAATATGTTCAAAATCTTCTCCATCTTTACCAACTGAGGTAATTCTACTTTTGGACATTTGTATATTTAACTTAATTTATAACTAATGATCTTCTTTTTAATGTCTCCTAGAGCTCAGATTGGAAATATTCCAGAAGGAGATCACAGCCAACTTACAGATGTGGTGAAAAAAAGCAAAAAGTATAACAATTTTGTCGAGGGTTATAACTTGATGAATCAGCTTACTAGTGTATTGCATTCTCAACATTGTTACGTTGTCTCATGGATTCTTTTCTAATAGGGTTTTAAAAGCTGTTCAGCGTATAGAAAAACAACAAAAACTCAAAAAGAGATGGAAAACTGGAGAGAGTAAGTTCAACGCCGCCGCCATTTCTCTTGAACAAAGAAGGCAAGAGTCTGTGATGGAATTGACCTACTCTTCAGCGGTTGAAAGAATGTTTCTTATCTCTCTCAAGAACAAGTACGCAGGTAATGTATACGACAGGAAGGTTTTCAGGTAGTGTATTTTTATAACTTTAATATTTTTTGGTAGATGGGCAAGCAATTGCAGTCAAATTGTCCAAACAAATTTCACAAAGAACCAATGCCATCAAAGCTGCAGTTACCAGGTACAATGCATCATTGAATTCACTGGAAGACTGGATCCAAGAATTACCAGCAGAAATGCAATTTGAGGAAGCCAAAGATCCAAATTCCGTCATATACTCCCACCTAAATCACCAACAAACCAACGACACAGTGCCCTCCGCTGTGAAGAGAGCTGCAATTGATTCACATAATTTCTTAGAAAGGTGCAAAGAAGAACAGAGTATTCTGCTTTTAGAAGTCGAAAGGCTGTTTCGATACTACGTGGACAGAAAAGAAGAACTTGATAAGTACTGCATCACGCACTCTGGGGATCAACCAAAGCTCGTGAATGGTTTAATTGCAATGGCAAAGCAAGAAATTGTTGAAATATATAACGCATTATTTTTATTGAAGTCAAACCTTTCTGAGCACCTCAATGTGGAAGATATAATGATGAATGAAGTATGTATCAGAAAAATTGAAGCAGAACATTCGTGTGCTAAAGGTATGGGAAGAGAATTTGAATCCATTTCAAGTTTCGATGACGAAGTAGACGAAGAAGACACGCCATTGCTGGATTTTTCCGAGGACGATTCGGAAAGCTCCGATGACAGTCTAGAATAAACAAGTGAAGTCACTAAGACACACGCAGATAAAAAAGTGTAAATTCATATTTAAATACAATGTGGTCATGGGATCCTGTAAGCAGGTCATGTGGTCGTGTAAACATGTTTGTCCTACTTAAGGACTGTGTACTAGATTAGAAACAAATTATATGCACACATATTGTTCACACTCCAATGTATTTTTGTGTGCTTCATTTACATTCTAATTTAATTTATGTCAACTTACCCCATCTTAGGGTGCTTTACCACACTAACATAGCGTAGGTCACCTTAACTTGCCGCATAGTGGGGTGCTCAAATTGATACTTAAACGTAAGTTAGATCATGTTGATTCTTGTGTAATTTTTACATCTTAACCTAAGATGTGGTCATGGGATCCTGTAATCAGGTCATGTGGTCGTGTAAACATGTTTGTCCTACTAAAGGACTGGGTACTTGATTAGAAAAAAATTACACGCACTGCGCTTGTTCACACTCCAATGTATTTTTGTGTGCTTCATTTACATTCTAATTTAATTTATGTCAACTTACCCCTTCTTAGGGTGCTTTACCACACTAACATAGCATGGGTCACCTTAACTTGCCGCATAGTGGGGTGCTCAAATTGATACTTAAACGTAAGTTAGATCATGTTGATTCTTGTGTAATTTTTACATCTTAACCTAAGATGTGGTCATGGGATCCTGTAAGCAGGTCATGTGGTCGTGTAAACATGTTTGTCCTACTAAAGGACTGGGTACTAGATTAGAAACAAATTATACGCACAGAGCTTGTTCACACTCCAATGTATTTTTGTGTGCTTCATTTACATTCTAATTAAATTTATGTCAACTTACCCCATCTTAGGGTGCTTTACCACACTAACATAGCGTAGGTCACCTTAACTTGCCGCATATAGTGGGGTGCTCAAATTGTTACTTAAACGTAAGTTAAATCATGTTGATTCTTGAGTAATTTTTACATCTTAACCTAAGATGTGGTCATGGGATCCTGTTATTAAGTCATGTGGTCGTGTAAACATGTTTGTCCTACTAAAGGACTGGGTACTTGATTAGAAACAAATTACACGCACTGCGCTTGTTCACACTCCAATGTATTTTTGTGTGCTTCATTTACATTCTAATTTAATTTATGTCAACTTACCCCATCTTAGGGTGCTTTACCACACTAACATAGCATAGGTCACCTTAACTTGCCGCATAGTGGGGTGCTCAAATTGATACTTAAACGTAAGTTAGATCATGTTGATTCTTGTGTAATTTTTACATCTTAACCTAAGATGTGGTCATGGGATCCTGTAATCAGGTCATGTGGTCGTGTAAACATGTTTGTCCTACTAAAGGACTGGGTACTAGATTAGAAACAAATTATACGCACAGAGCTTGTTCACACTCCAATGTATTTTTGTGTGCTTCATTTACATTCTAATTAAATTTATGTCAACTTACCCCATCTTAGGGTGCTTTACCACACTAACATAGCGTAGGTCACCTTAACTTGCCGCATAGTGGGGTGCTCAAATTGATACTTAAACGTAAGTTAGATCATGTTGATTCTTGTGTAATTTTTACATCTTAACCTAAGATGTGGTCATGGGATCCTGTAATCAGGTCATGTGGTCGTGTAAACATGTTTGTCCTACTAAAGGACTGGGTACTTGATTAGAAACAAATTACACGCACTGCGCTTGTTTACACTCCAATGTATTTTTGTGTGCTTCATTTACATTCTAATTTAATTTATGTCAACTTACCCCATCTTAGGGTGCTTTACCACACTAACATAGCGTAGGTCACCTTAACTTGCCGCATTGTGGGGTGCTCAAATTGATACTTAAACGTAAGTTAGATCATGTTGATTCTTGTGTAATTTTTACATCTTAGCCTAAGATGTGGTCATGAGATCCTGTAAGCAGGTCATGTGGTCGTGTAAACATGTTTGTCCTACTAAAGGACTGGGTACTAGATTAGAAACAAATCATACGCACAGAGCTTGTTCACACTCCAATGTATTTTTGAGTGCTTCATTTACATTCTAATTTAATAACTGCGCTCTAACGAACACTCTAACATCACCTTGCCCTATCTTGGGGTGCTTGGTCACACTCAAACGTAAGTTAGATTATGTCGCTTGTTGGTGTATTTCAAAAAAGTAATCTTTAATGTACATGGTTTACTTAATTACAACATTGAGCAGAACATGATGAACGTAACAACAGATAGTTTGTAAATACAAGCCCAATACAAATGCAGTGTTTCCCTATGATGACGATAAAAATTTGGGTTGGGACGAGCTTGTGGCATCCGCAGTCAATCAGAAGCTCTCATTTCTCTTTATGATATTTACAAACAGCAGAGTCTGCCAAAGAGCCGCTTGAATTAACTTCAAATCTTAACTACAATATACTTAATTAAGAAAATCCCTGATGCTCCAAACACTTCACAATTGAAGTGTCAAAATCTACTGGTAGAACAATTGTCGTACGATTACATAGGAGCAAATGTTTCTTCAGCCGCAACGACCCCAGATTGCCATCAAAACAAATCACATTTAAGGCTTTGATTGATGTCTTTTTATGGAGAAGTTTAAATTCTAAATTTGAGGTCGCTTTATCCAGCCAATATCCTGAAATGCTGTCTTCTGGACTTAGAGATTCTATCTCCGTTGCGGTCCCAGGATGATAGAAAAGCCAATATGGGTCTTCTGTCTCGGTGTAAACTGGTAGAATATAACCTTTGTGTCTGAAACTGCTCTGATAGTTCGCGATAAGCGCTGACATAGCATCCTTTTCAAAATGACTGTGTAAATCTGTCATCAGGACTTGGAAATCACTTGCAGATAAATCCGGGTCAGCAACTTCTAAATCGTCCTTTAATTGACGTTTCTCCTGACAAAATTCTACCAATTTTGTCACTGTCTACAATTTTTGTTAATGCTTGGGAATGCTTTGAAGTGAGTTGAAGTGTTTCTTCACGGTCACTAGCCTGATTTTCAACGATGAAAAACTTTATGTTTTCTGAATTCTTCATAATGGCTTGAATGGTATTAGCACCATAGGAAGTTGGCTTTTTGAACTCTACACCATCAGGTAACCCTGTTACCTCAAACCCACCCTTATGGTAAGGTACACGAGCACAAAGTTTTCCAGAAGCCTCACCTGTCAAGCGAAATACATACACATAATAAATTTACAATATATAGGTACTAAATAGATTAGTTTGGCATTCGACGCATGTCATGAGTGATGATTGAATAATTATATTTTGTACAAATATAAATGTAAATTATGCTAAGCTTACGGTATTTTCTGTTGAACATTGCAGCAACATCTGATGCTGAATACTTTTCGTTCGGGCATTCTGCAAAAAAAATAAGAACACAATGATTAAACATCTGTAGTCAGTATTTAAAACATAAATGTACATACACATGTACTGTTCATACAAACCAAAAAATTCCATAAACTTTATTGTTGCCTCATTGTTCTCACTAAGGTACTTCAGACCTTTGCCAGTACCATAGTGGCTAATTTCTTTCGACTCATGCTCAAAAATCATGACCGATGCATCACAACCAAGGCTTTCCAAATATGACAACTAAAAAGATATAAAACACTAATTTGTTTTATATTATTAACTAGAATGACTTGTATGAAATATAAATGTATACCTGTGCTATTAGTTGTTTCTTTGCTTTCAATACTTGAGCTTTTTTTTGTTTTGGTGTTAGCTCTGTTGTGCAATTATTAGCAAGTTCTCTAGCATTTTCTTTCCATTCTTCACATTTTTCCAATGAAAGTGATTTCCACTTATCAACTGCAAACTTCATTTTAGCTGACTTGCTTGATAACATTTGGCATTCGTCTAAATATTAGATTTCATTTATGTAAGTCATTTTACATACAAAATTACAGATTAAATATTGTTATACTATTTAATACTTTTTTGGTTTTGCAGATTTACAGAAGTTCTAATCAGAAGCAATCCACCTGGTTGCTTCTGTTGTGTTTGTCAAATTGTTCATGGAACTTATAACATGTTTTTGCACTGATGAATGCCCAGGTTATACTGCACATAACAAATACATGTGGTATTTACAAAGAAAAGGTACCAACTTAAAGACCCTTAATGGTAAATTATTCATTATTTTTTTTGCATTGACAGAGTTTAAAGTTTAGCATTGCTCAAGTATAACATTTTTTAAATTAGTCACATGTTAGAAGAATACTGAAACCTGAATTCATCATTTGGGAACAGAAAAGATTATATCCAGTGATTGCACGTTTAGATGGCGGCTTGTTGGACTGTCTCTCTTCCAAATCATTTACAAAAGTAGAGCTTGCTCTTCGCTTTCTCCTTTCATTTCCTATCCATTTCTAAAAACAATAATTTATTTTACACATTATGGGTAGTCATGGCATGCTGACCCATGCATTTGCAGAAGCATTAACCATTATATACTATAATTAGATATTCAAAATACATGCTTAGAGAACACATTAATTTAATGTCTTTTAATTACAGTTGGGGTAGTTGTTTTTGGTCAACTAGTATTAAACAAATATATATTCTGCCAATTGTGCAATAGAATCTTTTTATTTCAAATAGTTTTCTATTGCATGGTTGCTTTCACTATTCGCTTTTTTAAATGGAACATTCCATCTTTCAAGTAATTATGTAATATAATTACATCCTTACCATTGCACGAATGAAAACAATCTGACATTATTAGTTCATTATAAAATGTATAATATAGGATACTCAAATGCTATAAATACGATAAACAGGCATAACTTTACAACACCGTACTAAATATAAATTGAATTTACACGAAACCAAGTAATTAAAGCATTATTATATACACCTAGAAACATTAATTTTGTTGTGAAACGATCACAAACGTTTAATAACATAACGTTTGCCATTTGAAGGGTTTATTTATATTAGAACAAATTCACTAACCTTGACTTTATCAACACTAAGATTCGCTTCTTGCGCAGCTTGGTCAATGAAAGCATGCATGCATGGAGACGTTGTGGTCATGCCTTTATCATAATATTCACAAAGAATTCGTTTTTTTTCATCGGTCAAGACAGCATAACAACCCCTTTCTGTCGCCATTTTGTTTATGTTCAACACGTTGTAATAGTTATCCCAGCTTGCTTTGCGCGTGCGGATTAGATTATTTAGATTATAATCTGGCGACGCTTAATTGCGACGTTCTAAAATTTAGAACCCATGCTTCAAGCGTTTTAGAACATGTGAAACCGGTGCCCGTACATACCTTAGAGAATTACCAGGGTAGGTATGGATTACGAAAAATATAAGACAGACAACCTTCAGCAGACCTAAAACGATAATGAATCAATAATTAGTCTCATCTTTGAATGCATCATGCAAATTATTTGATATATGTATCATAAGGTGTGCAATATTCGTCCTAACCCCTCGTTAGTCTAACCAACCCTACATCGAAACATGTATAAAATTCTTCAATATCCATAAACTTTATACAGGGTGAATCAGAAAAAGGTAGATGATAGTGAGTAGTAAAAGTAGATAGAAAATGTGTGTATAATTCCACTCGAAATTAAGACTCTTTCAACCTCTCTCTCTATATATATCTATATCTAAATACAAATTTGGATTTGTTCGTAGTAAATCAGCCCGTGCTCAATACCAATTAAATAGTAGAGCAAATAAAGAAAAAAAGGGATAAATCAACAATATATATATATAATATATAATTATATTATATATAATATAATATATATAATATATATATTATATATATATATATATTAGAATAAAAGTAAACCAAGACAGTAAAAATTTCAAAACATATAGTTTACTGTACAGTTTCGTACGTGAAGCTATGCTTACACGCACTCTTCAGATCTTTGTACAAATTTGTACACTTAAGTGTCGTCTTCTTGCATGCTTATAGTGGTTGAACTACTTTATGTAAGTATAATATAAGATTTGATATTTTCCGGAAATACACTAGGTTACCTTGTGAAAATAAGCCATATATAAGCCATACATATAATTTTCACCGATAAATATCCGACTTCGATCTTTCTGTACAAACCTCGCTCTGTTCAAAAAGACCTCGGTCCGATATTTTTCGGTAAAGACCTCGTGCTCGGGAAGTTAATGATCTTGAAGATTATAGCTACTAGCCAGAATAAAATGGAGAATAAAATGTGGAAAAACAAGATAAAGACAACCAGATAAGTATGACGGAAACATGGGTGTAGTTCAAGACTAGTTTATATTTGTATACTTTTGTGCTGCGGCCAAGTTTTACTAACTGAAAGGCTGTTACACCACCGCAGTTTAAATTCAAAAAGTGTTTTTGAAGGTGTAATTTGAATTTTGATACAACAAATTTCACTATAAGAGTAGACTGCAATCAATAAATATTCGAAAGATAATGTTAAATTTTGACGCTTAGTCTTTGAAAATTTTGTACAGTTCCGAAGCGGCGGGAGTCCATAAACCGTAAAATACCGCCGTGCAGAATGATATAGAAAGTTGAGCAATTGTTTACAGGCTGGAAATAATTTGTTGCCCAAACCCATTTAATTATTATATAGTCAAAAACAATCAATAGAAATCTATATTTATTGTATGTAAATGCAATTAATTAAGACGCTGCGGCTCAATTTCCTATAGAATACAGGGCATCATGAATATTACATAATATGCCTTAAATGAAACATTATACAAAATTATATACCTTTATAATTTGTTTCAAACGAATGTAACTCCGTTGCACATTAAGAGAAAACCTTATTAAAAATAGGTAGCTAGTCAAAATCTAGCTAGCAAAATGACAATAACTCCTCGAGTAAACACACTCGATAAGACGAAACACTGCACGCAATTTATCTAGCAACTAAATACTGAATGAACTATATTCTTACCTTAATTATATTCAATCTCACTTAATCTGAGCGTCTTAAATATTGATTGAATTCAACTTGAATTTTTTTGTCCTATACCGGGATCAACCACCTCCGTGCATGACTCACCGTGTTGTGAATGTGTCACGACGCATCCAATAATTTTATGTCTGGAACCGGATATATTAACTCGTGGTAACAAAAATTTCGCCCACGTCTTACTTAGAAAATTGCCATTGCGTCACTGTTCCCCTGAATAGATGAATGCTTTGCTGATAAATTTTTAAATTCCTGAAGCAGATATAGCTAATACCAATTATACTTCGTTCCAAATATATAACACTGATAAAAATTATTCATGCACTCACTTAAATAACAAAACACTAATTCGATTCCGTGCATATTCTATCTGAAATTCGTTCAATCTATTTAATTTTGAGTGATTTTATTGAATTCGTTCTAAAACTATTTCTACTCTATATAATGATAAATCAATTCAACCCTTCGGGAAGCTATTATCTAAAACGCGGTTTGAGCGTGATATACATTCCACTCGAATTGTGTTCCTGCTCCCTTCTTAGAAAGAGTGCAAATAGAAGAATGATTTGATGATAAATCTTTAAAATTCCAAAGGCAAAGCAGATATAATACCAAGAATCCTTCGTTTCTAATTCCAGGAATCACAAATATAATATACAACACTGAAAAAAAATATTCACTCACTTAAACTAGTTTAAGTGAGTGAATATTTTTTTTCAGTGTTGTATATTATATGTGTGATTCCTGGAATTAGAAACGAAGTTCCCTTCTTAGAAAGACTGGGAATGACCAGAAGAATGTTTTGATGACAAGTTTATTAAAAATTGCGCATTGCCTAATAATAATTGCATTAATAACCTACACCGCATCGCAGACGTATAGGTTCAAATGTTGCGTATGATCCGTAGTTTACGAATATTTCTTAGCTCTTCCTGGTTTGAATTCGAGATGTGTACGACTTCCGATCGAAATTTAGACCATTAACCTAGAATATTTGCATCCTGAAATATAACAAATGTTTGCATATATGTCACAAACAGTCAAAAGTCACGTGTATTGTATGTGCGATTAAGACGCTGCGGTTCTTTTGCAATTTCCAGGAATATAGGGCATCGTACGCGGCAGAATGATGATCGCGCCTAATTATGTATATTACATATATATGACATAAATGAAACATTATTAATTTTATAACAATTATACTGTATAATAAGCTTTATTTCAAACGAGAATTTTATATTAAGAGAAAACGTTATTAAAGAATTATATAAGTAGTCAAAATCTGGCTAGTAAAACGACCATATAACTCATCGTGTAAACATGCACACTAATAAGAAAACACAATGCATGCATGCATGCAACATACCTGTAACTAAATATACTGAATGAACTATGCTTAAACAATGATTGAATTCAGTTTTAAATTTTTTCTCCTCCACCAACAACCTCTGTACATGACTCGCCGTGTTGTGAGTATGTCACGACGCATCCAATAAATTTATAATATCTGAAACCGGATAAGCTCGTGGTAACAAGAATCTCGTCCAAGTACGCCTTACTTAGAAAATTGCGATTGCGTTTAACTTACTGTTATACCATCTTAGAAAAACAGGAAATACAAAAATGCTTTGATGATGAATTTTAAAACTTCCAAAGCATATAAAATACCGAGAATCCTTCGTTCCAAATTCTCAGAATCACATATACATAAAAAACACTGCAGGATAAAAATATTCACTCACTTAAACAACCAAACATGCTTTATCTAAAATTCATCAAATCTATTTAATTAAGAGTGATTTTCAGTATTGAATTTGTTTTAAAACCCTATAGCTATACTCTAATGATGAACCAATTCAATCCTTCGGGAAGTTAGCTATTATCTAAAACGCGGTTAGAGAATGATCATGTGTGCCGTCAATAGCATATAGATTCCACTCGAATTGCGTTACCGTTCCCTTCTTAGAAAGACTGGAAATGACTAGAAGATTGTTTGATGACAGATTTATTTCAAAATTGCATTGCAGATAAAATAGTGTGCATTCTGTGCATGTCTGCGTTCCAACTTAACCAGATACACTTAATAACCTACACATGCAGCTCGCAAAAGACATAGGTTCGATTTCTGCAGTAGGACCGTATAGTCGTCAAATATATTTCTGATCTGTTCCTGGCTTGAATTCGAAATGTGTAGCACGTCCGCTCGAAATTAAGGGCATTAACCCAGTATATCTGCATCCTGATATATAACAAATGTTTGTACATATGTCACAAACCGTCAAGAGGCTCTATATATATATATATATATATATATATATATATTTATTATATACCACTTGTCAAAGTTTTGTTTTCGTAGCGTTTCATTGGTCGAGAGCGAATCACGCGAGAGTGACGAAATTTTGATGTCGCCAGCGCGACCCCCTGCAGAGTGAGATAACGTGTTATCTCATGGGAAATAACAACTTTTAAGTTTTATCCATTTGAAATTATATCTTTTATAAATAGATATTTCGTTGTTTACCTTGTAGTTTGGTTTTTCTTTGACAAGTGGTATATAATAAAACACTTATTTACCGAAAACTCAGAAAACATTATGTTTTGTGGACCCTCGACCATCGATATTTTACTCGGCTTCGCCTCGTGAAATATCGACAGGTCTTGGGTCCACAAAACATAATGTTTCCTTCGTTCGTAGTAAATAAGTGTTAAATATTGTATGCAATAAAGAGGCTGCGGTTCTTTTGCAATTTAGTTGAAATTAAATAGCTATAGAGCATCATGTATATTACATAATATGACATAGCTAAATGTAACATTATACAATACTATTTAGCTTTATTTTAAACGAGGATTTCGGATGTATAACTCCGTCCCACATTAAGAGAAAACCTTATTATAAATATAGGTAGTCAAAATCTAGCTGGCAAAACGACCATGACCCCTCAAGTAAACACACTGATAAGACAAAACACTGCATGCAATTTACCTGCATGTAACTAAATACTGAATGAACTATATTCTTACCTTAATTATATTCAATCTCACTTAATCTGATCGTCTTAAACAATGATTGAATTCAATTTTAATTTTTTGTTCTCCTTCACCAACAACTTCTGTGAATGACTCGCCGTGTTGTGAATATGTCACGACGCATCCAATAAATTTATAATATCTGAAACCGGATAAGCTCGTGGTAACAAGAATCTCGTCCAAGTACGTTTTA